AAGGCAGTGAGCATGTTGTGTGGGGTGCCAGGTACACGGTGAGCACCCAAAGTCAACGATGACAATAACCTTTCTAAGTTGGCAAGATATGGACAACTCTAGCACTAGTTGTACTTCGGCAATTCTCACCGCCACTCTGGACATTTCTCATCTCCCTTTTAAAAATAAATTTATACATCAGTAAAACACACATCAGACTTTCAGACTAAAGCATCATGAAGTATGTCAACACACCTACTAACAATCAACTATTTGAAACATAGGAATTTAATCTAGATTCTACTAAGATACAGGCATGCAAAGAAACCTGACATCAGGGCATAAAAATAGAAATCTGATGGCTGTTCAGCACTCAAACACTCAGTGCCACTAGGCCCAACTTGAAGATACTTTCCCACGAGTAGTAACAAAAAAACAAACATTACTTGGTTAATTAATGAATATATAAATGAAAATAAAATGGTCTTAAAATTCAGCTACACTAGAATACAATAAAGTTGATTTAATAAATAAAAGTAGTCTTTTCCAGATATTATACAAAAACCTAGTGCCACTTAAGAGAAAGGCTAAATATAAGGTATTTTGTGTTAAGAACATCAACTGCTCATGTTACAAGTGACAAATGCATAGAAACCAGGTTATTTTGAACACGGGACTATAAAGACTTCTGCACTTAAAGTCAGAAGCCCTGAAAACTTATGATTCATTCACAAAGGGGAAAAATGATCCACAGAAGAAGAATCTTATGAGATTTTCCAGCCACATTTTGCTGCATAGCAAACACTAGCTTTTACAACAAATTCAAGCAAGAGGGTAGCAGAACAGTCTTCTAGGGAACATTTTCCCAGCTCTATTACAGCTAATATAGCAATTCATAAAGCAAGAAGAACTGTAGTAAAAACCCTCAAAAACCAGCTTATTTCTCCAACTCTATCTGAGGAACACCAGGCTTGAGAAGTGAGCAGAGCAGTCTAGCATTGAAGAAATTCAAAAAATCTATTCCTTTTCCCTAACAGTAAAGACACTTCAGGCTGCATTCATGATCCTCCACCTTGTACTCCGTTTTACCTGTACATCTTAGTCTCCCACTCCAGCCCAGAAGGTAACTTTCCTATCCCTATGCTTAATCAACCGTGGCCTGGACTTCTGTTATCTGCACTGCCATTCTATCCCAACTTCAAGAGTCTCCCATCAGCACAAAGCTCAGATAGCTCACTGTAACTCTGTGGACTAGATCCAGCCCAAAGTGGACCTTTTCTTCTCCATTCTTAAGCACTGGGTAGGGCCCTGAGTGACATTCCACCTCTCCCGCCCACACCCGTAACACGCTGCTGAGAGAAGGAGCACACAATACAGGAGATACTTATGGCCCATCGCCAATGAAAGCCAGCCTGGGCTCTGTCTGGGGCTCTACCATGGCTGAGCCCTTTCCTGAGCAGCCTGATAGCAAATGCCTCATGAGTTTCATGGAACAGTATTAATAGGATTCACTGACTGACAAAATTCTTCTTGGCTAATTATTGCACGTTTTGTAATAAAAATGCTTGTTATTACTAGAAAGGGCTTTTCTCATCTATAATAACAATAAAATAATCTTTGTATAAGTTTCATATAAAAATATAGTGTGTAGAAAAGGTAACTTTGTTTTCTTTAAAGACTCACATATGATCACTAAAAACATTCATCAGAGATTTTTCCCCTCCTACAACACAAAACCTCACTTGGCAATCATCTCATCTCTCATGACTATTCCATTTGTAGGACGATAGCTCATTCTTAAAACAATGCTTCTGTTTTGCCATTAGTTGAACACCAATAGTTTCCCCCCAATAACAGATAAGCATTTTTTCTGTTGTCTATTCTCAACGCTTGATCTGAGTTTCTGGGCACTTTCCTTTCTCAATTAATGATCTTACTCACAGACTGGTCCCAGAACTCATATAGGAAGTTACCCTCCGATACCAGGGGCTCTCAATAAACCAAAAGTCCAGTGTCCCAGACAACTGGGATTTTTCTACTTAAGAGACTTCAAATTCCAAAAGGCAACACAAGGCTTAACTTTATGCTAGACAATGGCTCATCCATAGACAACTGCCAGAACACAACAAAACAAGTAACATAGACATAAGTATCAGTGAAAAATTCAAGCCACTCCTCAAACTTAGCTTTTGTTCATAGACAGCTGTTCATAAGGCTATAATTTTAAACTACATACATGTCATATCACCTACTAGCCAAATAGCATCTAAATCATATTAAAGAATTAAATATCTCAATAGGTCAGAGTTGTGTAAACAGGACCATGACTAACGGGGGAAATCAGTAGCAATCTCGGTGACAACTATTCATCTTCACTCTCAGAGACACATGCAATAGAGGAGCTAGAGTAACGAAAGCACCTGTGAAGACCATTCTGTAAATCACCACTTAAATTGCTCCCTCCCATCTCAAAAAATGTTAATTACAAAAATAAAAACAACGCTAGTTTTTAGTCAGCCTGAAAGAGGAAGGTTTGTGTGATTCCTTCTCCTCTACTCTTAACCAAGCTGTTGCTGCCTAGCCTCTTTAGTCAAATTCCTGAACCACTTAAAACACCACTGAGCCCCTTCATGTGCTGCCAAGCCACCAAAAGAGTCAAGACCCTTACTGCCCAGCCCCAGAAAGGAATTGGCGTTAACATGCTCCTCAGTGAGGTCTAGGAAGGGAAAAAAAAAAATCTACCTTCTACCATCATCTGAATTTTTGTGGATTATTTTCCTCTTTGCCCCATGTTCTCTTTAACCCTTTCCTTGTGTTTCAACTTTCTTCCATTTCTTTTTATTCTTTCATCTCTATTCCAAGTTCTTTTTGCTCCTTCTCTTTACGGTCTTGAGGGCCAGAATAATGCCCTTTCGTGATAGTAAAGAAGGATGTACACCAGGGACTAAGGAATCTAGCATCAGCTACTGTCATCAATAGTTGACAAAATCCACAAGTATCCAAGAAATTATTCAATACCTACTATGGATGAATCACTGTGAGAGGAATGATGGGGGAGAAATTTTAAAGCAATTTTTGCCCTCAAAGAAGTGACAATCTAGTTGAGAGATTATGCAAAAATACGTGAAAAGGTAAAACAACATAAAGCAGTCAGAAGACTGCAGTATATGATGTAAGACACGTGGGCTGTAACATTTTTTTTTTTTTTTGGCACTGAGACCAAAAGAGGACTGAACCACTGTGTTCTAGGGCGTCTCAAGGAGGCTCACTCAGAGAAAGTACAAGACAGACTCTGAAGGAGACCTTAGGGGACTAAAAATTGAAGTGAAGGAAAGGCTTTCCAGAGGGCTGACCATATGTCAACCTAAGAAGAAGAAAGAATGTACAATGGCAAATTTTATGTTATATATATTTTACCACAATTAAAAAAAAAAGAGGAAGAAGGACAGATGCCTGGGCCCCTCAGCTGTCTCTAGCAGGGTAGGAAAGTCAGCACAGAGGGCCTGACAAACTAAGAATTTCTATGCATAGATAGGAACATCTTGACGAACTGAGTCAACTGATACTATCCAGTGCATAGCCACACATCTGACAATACCTTTTCTAATCTTAATTACCAACACTGTGTATAACCTGACAATATGGTTAAAGCAAAAGAAACTAGCTGACCAGATAGGGAGAGGTGTGCATGGAGAGGAAGAAGAGACCTGATGCCTCTTTTCTACCAGGGAAATGCCCTCTGGAGCAGAGGTCCCAGCAGCTTTGCTATAGCTATGGTACAGAAATCCCAAACCCAGAGGTTCCAATGGGTCTCTGTTCTTCAGAGTTTTCTGCTGAGCGCAAGAGAGAAAGTCTGCAATCACTTCTAGGAGTGAGCCACAAAAAAAGCTTTAGCTTTCAGCTTCCAGTTAGTTGCTAATAAAGCCCTCATATATAAATTCAAAGTATTAGTAGTTAGTTTTTTGTTGACCACCTGGAAAAAAAATCCTTAAACTAATACATAAAGTTACTTTTATAGAAATCATACATGGCACACCTTAGTTACCTCCATTTAAATACCAACAAGAAAATTATTTGCTTGAAATAATAATGCCAATGTGCCCTTCAACTTCAAATTGATCAGACAACAAAATCCAAATAACAGTTCCTGAAGGAAAGTCAGTGAAAACAGTCAAGTTAAAAGAAATGTCCCCACTTGCACATAATGGCCAACATCAGAGGAGAAAGAAACATGCTGGGAAATTGCCTAAATGACCATAAAAATATTCATAGTACATAGTGTTCTATGCGATATACTATGTACTAGTGTAATATTACATAGTACAAAATGTGCAATAACTGTGCGTGGACAATAACTGGCTCGAGGTGCAAGACACTGAAAAGTATGCTAGTCTAAGTGTTAAAAGTAAGATTCTTGCTGGAATAACCAACTTTGTTAGTTCTTTAAAATTTCCACATTAACACCCCCCAAAATCAATGAATTACAAGCTATGAGAACTTACTTTATTCTCCTATTTATTGCTAAAATCTCTTTCAACATTAGACATTAGTCATCAGTATATAAAACAAATGAGCTCATTAGCCCAGAGGCACTGATTATTCAGGGCAAACCGGGGGATCTGGATACTTCTCAAGACATTTATCAGTCACTCATACATGGTTGTGTAGAAGATGGTGATTCTGATGCTTATATCTTACCTCACAAAGTTTCACAAGACTGACTTTCTGAAACAAGTGGTAATCTATGCAATTCTGCTTCTATGTACTTTTGGTTTATCTTTCCTGCATTCACCCACCACGAATCCTTTCTAATTCTTAGTAGTTTGGGAATCTGAGGGCCTTAGATATGCACATATTAGAAAACAAAGTAAATGCATCGAATGTATCTAAATGATGCAACATACACTTAAATTTGGTTTCAAGCTACAGGGTCAATCAGTCTGGAGGAGACATTAATTAGCAACAGCTCATATTTAGATTTAATTGGGGGGATAACACTTGGAATTGACAACACTGCTCACCTTTAGGACAGAGGCTAAGTTGGTCATGTGCTCGTTGAGGGCACCCTCGGACTCCTTGTAGGTCAAGCAGGTGAACTGGTACTCCTCGGGATCAAAGGCATCGGCTCCCTGCTGCTCCACATCGCTAGCCACTCCCACATAATAGTCCTCTATGTCCCCTGGGTCCTCGTCCTCTTCCTCCTCCTCACAATTTGGGTCATAGTCCTCTTCATTGCTGTCAGACCCCTGGCTATTCATGTCCACAGACATCTTAGCAACCAGAACCAGCCAAGTTGCAGAGCAGGAAAGCAGTTTTTTTTCCCCTCCCCCCGAACTTCACTTTCTCAAATGCATTAGTATTTTTGTCTTCTAAAGGAGGAAAAGAAAAAAATAAGTGTTACTCATTCTCACTATGAGAAGCTGTAACAGAAACCATTCAAGAATCAAGATGGCATAGCCTTGGCCCTACCCAACTATGGCCTATTCCAACTCTGGTCTCATACAGGAAACCTCACCATCATCTCCCTGCCCAGGCTTATCAAAGGGAAAGCCTTTCCTGGAGGGGCAGAAGTGGCTGACAATGGTAACTTCACAAGAAGGGCCTGGAATGAAAGAGTAAGGCTGTTCCATGTCAAGGAGTCAAATTCCCATGGACTTGTCCTTCCTGCCACAGTCCTTAAGAGAGCAGCACATCCCCACAGTGGGCTGCCCACAGGGGAAACAACTTAAAGGTTGAACTACCAAAGTTTAAAATCTCTTTGCTAATCATACCCCACTGAGGGGAGACACAGACAGTACATAAATAGGGACACTGTTTTTCCCACCATAATATCTAGGAAAAGAATATCACTGTTTCACAGACATCGCTCTCAGATACCTGGAAAACAGGTGCATAGTTAATAAAGAAAAAAAAAAAGCCACATAGCTCTTTAACATCCTCCTCTTGTCTGCAAAGTTCACTGATTTTTCAGTTTTAAAGGGTTCTACTGATCCTTTAGAAGGGGTACCTTAGAGGCAAAGAAACTGCCCCAATAGCGAAGGAAAACTATAGATATTCTGCCTTAGCAGGATTAAGGATAGGGAAAACCAGAAATCCACTTAGGGTGAAGAAACAAGAGTTCATACGGAACCAACTACTGAAAAATCCTTAGAGAACAAAATGTTATTCAATTACATATAAATGAAAAGAGAACACTAGTTGAGAAAGCAAAACAGTCACAAGTCCTAACTTCATCTCAGAGATGATTTTGGAAAACATCCATTAACTTCTCTGCAGAAGTACTATTTCAACCGATCATCTGCCAGGAACAGTAGCAAATAGTGATTTAAACCTAAAAACCAACAGGACCTTAAAATGCAAGAGCATTTGTATTGAATGGTATGTAAATCATTTACATAACCAAATCTGGATTAAATACAAAATTTAAATGTTCAAATTTTTTTGAAAAATCATATTAACAAGAGGCAGTAATATAATACTCGTAGTTTGACTTTTAACCAATTGTTCTGTATGGCAGAACCACCTAATCACAACTGAACTTAACTACAGTATTTTTCCTTTAGTAGAAAAAGTTAATCTTAAAAATACCTGTAATTCTCGAAGATCTTTCAGGAAGATGTCACTCAAATATTCTGTCACATAATTTCCACCTAAAATGAAAAATGAAAAAAAGCGAATTCTATTTACATGTTTTTAAATTGGTACCCTGCTTTTGCAAATTTATTTTTTAAAAAGCAAAGACATTTAAAAGGACAAGCAGCAAGGGACCAGAGTAACTATGAAATTATTTTCTTATAATAATCCCACAGAAATACATATGTCATAATATACTGACAAGAGTTACATGGCCTTCTAAAAAAAGAAAGCATTCAAAGTAAACAGTTGACAATAATTTAACCTGGGGTACTGGTGATGGAAAAAGATACCCAATTCCCTCCCTCAGTTTGAAAGCCCACCACCTTACCCCTATCATTTGGATTCCCCAAGTTAGTTACCACAATTTCAATATTAAATGTTATATAGAGGTTAACAAAGTAAATTGTAACTGACTTAAAACTGGACTTGCACTATAAAGCCACCTCCACTGTGGTAATCTAACACACAATACTGCCAATATTATAGATCTCACTTTACTCATGAAAAAATTATTTTCAAATAAAAAATGTCTCCAATAGGATGCCCACTAGGCAATATTAACACCCATTTCCCACCTCTCTTCTGACTGCTCAAGGGCCATCTGACTTTCTCAGAGACACAGATCCCACTATCCAAAAGTAAATAATTACTACTTGCTTACTAAATTAGAAATCTTATGTCTATTTCTTTATCCTTTAGAATTTCTTGGAAAACCAGAGCTCATAATTTCCAAAAATATACTTCAAACATAAACAAGCAAATATAAACTAAATGAAAATCCAAGTCCAAACAATAAGTGTGGAAGGTTATTTCCAAAATAGTAGAGGAACAACTGATTTCTTTTACCTGTATTTTTGTGTAAGATACTGTTTATTTGGCAAATACTATCTATGAATTTTGCTCCCATCTAAAAAATATCACTACCAATAATAGCTTTCATTTAATGAGAGCCAATTTCAGGTCAGGCTCATTCTCATTAAATCTTCACAACCCTACAAAGTGGCTATCATCCCTTGCTTACAAATGAGGAAGCTAGAGTTCAAAAAGGTTAAGCAACTTGCCCAGGATGACACTGCTGGCAACCAGCAGAGCCCAACGTCACACTTCCACCAGATCCAAGGCCTACGGGGATTCATAACTTCCCCATCACTCTCCCAGGGAGCCTAATAATATCCACAAAGCTACCTCCAGAATCACAACAAAAGAGCATGCTTTTCACTTTCTCTGGATTTCTCCCCCAGATTTGGGCTTAGAGGTTGCCCAAAGGCTTCTCACCAACTAAATATTCAGGAAGCAGGGGAAAACTTCATGTTCCCCTCCAAAAAAAGAGAATGCCATTTCGTACTTACTGGGTGTTCTAGCTCCAAATTTTTAAAAAAACTTAATTTTTAATCTTTTCAAAGTTAAATATCCCTATTCTACTTGAAAGAGCGCTGACACCGCTCAATGGGGCCAGTATTATTGCCTTATTAACAGAACTGATAACAACGCTTTGATTTCCTTCAGATGTTAAATATTATCCCTATATCCCACACAGAGAAGCAGCAATAGAAATTACTTTTCCCCAGAGCCAAGGTCAGGTGTTCAGAAGACCTGACACCCACCCTGCGCCAACGGATCCCAACAAGACTTCTCAGCTTACAACTAACAGAATAAAACACAGACCTTTTGGTGAGTCTGACAATGTTTACTCCAGATATAATATTTAGCACTGAATGATCATTTACTAAGTCTACATCTCTGAAGAAAACTACTTGGCACAAAAATATGAAACAGAAACTTAGTTTCAAAACTCTACACTATATCTGTCCTGATATGGTAGCCATTAGCCACATGTGGTTATTTTTAACATAACTTAAAAATTAAATTTAAAATCTGGTTTTTCAGTCGCACTAGCCCTAAGTCAAATGCTCAATGGCCACGTGTGGCTAGTGGCTACCCTACTTAACAGCAAAGGTATGGAACATGTCCATTGTTGCAGAAAGTTCTATGGGACAGAGCAACAATCAGTAGTGCGGTGAAGTCATCCGAGAACACGGCTGCCTCTCCCGCGGCTAGCACAGCAGCGTCCGGTGAGGCGCCGGGATAGCCGCGAGGACACGGAGTCCACGCGCTGGGGGACCCTTCACAGGCGGGCGTTAACTAACCGCGCGGGCGGCACTGCGAGAGCTCCCAATGAAGACTCGAGTGGGGAGCCCCGGAGGCGGCGCGTTTCCCCGGCGCGCCCGGCGGGGAGGGCCCAGATGCGCCGGCGCCACTCGGTCAGAGGCGCTGGCCTCCGACCTCTCCGCGAGCTGAGAAGGCAGCGGGAGAAAGAAAAACGGGAGGACGCCGGCCGCCCGGCCGCAGCCTTCAGCCGCCCCTCAGCGGGCGGCGGAGGGCGCTGAAACCGTGTAGAGAAAGCCGGGGGCGCCAGGGCCCCGCGGGCGGCAACGAAGGCGGAGCCCCCGCTGGGCTAGGGAGGCGCGCAGAAAGTCCACCCCCTCCCCTGGCCGGCCAGAGTAAACAAGGCCGCGACTCGCGCCGCGCACTTACTGGGAGCCGCGGCCCCGCGGCCGCTGAGCCCGGGCGGGCCAGACCGGGTCGGACCGGCCCAGACGGACGGGACCCAGGCGCGGCAGCGGCTGAAGCAGCTGGCCGACGCCGGTCAAGGCCCGCGCTGCTACCTCCGGCGAAGCCGTCTCCGCAGCTCCGGAAGTGCTCGGCGCGGCTGCGTCACTTCCGGCCCCGGGTTGACCGGCGGTCGCCCGGGTCGCGACAGGCGCTGGGTGGTAATCGCCCGTGGGCCAGCGCTCCGGCCCAGAGTCCTACCCCGGCACAACCGGCGCCGACTGCTGCGGGAGGCAGCAGAAGAGCGAGTTCGGCTTATTGGAGGGTGATCAAGGCATCTCTTCCGGCTGTCGCCTACCAGCGCCGCCCGCCGGAATATTTTTAACCAGCGTTTTTGTAATGGACTCCTCACTTCACTGTACTCGGGTGTCGGGCACGGAGAAAACATCCTGACGTCCTTGGAGTGGAAGAAAGACTGTTTCGTGGTTGCTACCTGGTCGAAGGAGAGTTGGGCCTTAGGGGTCAGCGCGTCGGGCCGAGAATTTCTGCCTACTCTCTGAGGCCCTCCAGCCGCAGGGCCACGCCGGGCTTTCGCTTCCCTCAGCTGCCTGGTTCGCTGCCCAGTTCTCCGGCTTCCCATTCTTCCCATTCACCGTGCAAGATTGAATCTTAACTGCCTTGCTGCACACTTTCTTCCGACAGTACAGCAAGTGCCGTTATGACTTCCAGTACCTTCTAGGACCTGTTGTCAAGTATATGGATAGGTAGAGCACGCTCACTCAAGTTGCTTCTACACTACAGTGGAAACGCCAGTGTGAAGCCCGTCATGTTAGGGAGCCTCCTGGCTGTGCAAGTCCGTACAAAACCCACACTATTTCCACACATACACGAGTTGTGTATGTACTGATATTCAAGTTATCTCTGTGTAACAGGCTTTCTTATTTAATTCTTGCTTCTTGCATGTATTCGTGTATTTCTTTCTTTTTTTTTTTTTTGTGAGGAAGATCAGCCTTGAGCTAACATCCATGCTAATCCTCCTCTTTTTGCTGAGGAAGACCAGCTCTGAGCTAACATCTATTGCCAATCCTACTCCTTTTTTTTTTTTTCCCAAAGCCCCAGTAGATAGTTGTACTTCAGAGTAGCACATCCTTCTAGTTGCTGTATGTGGGACGCGGCCTCAGCATGGCCGGAGAAGCGGTGCGTCAGTGCATGCCTGGGATCCGAACCCGGGCCACCAGTATCTGAGCGCGCCCACTTAACCACCAAGCCACCGGCCGGCCCCTGGACTCTTAATTTTTAATATTTAAATTTTTCATTTCTTCTTTCTTCTTTTTCTGATTTCCCTCCCTCTTTTCTTCTTTCTTTCTTCCTTTCCTACTTTCTTCTGTCTCTCCCTCCCTTCCTATTGGTCTTATCGCATTGGCTACCATGTCCAGGAAAATGTTAAGCAGTAATCATGATCAAAAGCCTCTTTACCTTTGTTCATGTCATTAATACGAAATTTTCTATTTTGTATTAGAAATTTTAGGGCCGGCCCTGTGGCTTGGTGGTTAAGTGCGCGCGCTGCGATGCCGGTGGCCCGGGTTCGGATCCCGGGTGCGCATCGAGGCACCACTTCTCCGTTC